TTTGTCCCCTGCCAATGCCGGCAGGTGGAGGCTTCGTGCTTGATCGCTGCGTTGGCATCCTAAGTGTGGGGCTGAGCTGCCGGCCCCGCTTTTTCCTGTGGGGCAGTGGCCATGGGGGCTGCTCTCTCCACTGGAGCGGTCGTGGCCATCTCTTTTAACTCTGTCATCGCATTGCTTATCCTCATCCTCTTCTTCATCCTCTGCAAGGCCTGCAGGACCCCCTCGTGCCCCAGGAAGAGTCCAGCTTCTGACATAGATGAAACAAGGAATGAAGAGAAGTACTTGCTGCAGCCCTGATCTGCCTGGGGACTTGGGTACCCGGCTGTGCCAAAGCAGTCGCACCAGCCTGGATGCCTGTATTGGGATTGGGGCGCTGCTCCGGGCACAATGAGAGCAGATGGGATGCCGAGCTGCTTGCAGGGGCTGTGACACGGGGCACAGCCCTTCAACTGCGTGATTTTGGTGTATGAAGTCCCTGCAGATGCCCACAGTAACCATGGGGATGGAGAGACAGTGGTTAGGGATGTGCTATGGGGATAATCCTGCCTGTCCCAGTGGCCAGCGAGCTCAGCAAGAGTCCTGCCCTCAAGCACACCCCGTGTTTGGGGACAGCCTGTGGGCTCCTCCCTGGGACTCGTGGCCTGGGCCAGTGGCAGCTGCGTTGCAGACCTGAGTGAGGCCAATCTGGAGCTTGGAGAGGGGAGGCAGTGCAGCTGGCACAGGCACCTGGCCCCGAGTGGGCTGGCTGCCCCATGGTGGGACGTGTTCGGGGGATCCCAGCAGCCCTGGTCCTACTGGCAGAGTGGGGTATTACTGGTCTGGATGTCTTTGGGGATGGTGTTGGGGTGCCATGTGCCCCCAGCTTCAGGAGGGCATTTGGCACCATCTGCCCCAGCAGCCACAAGAGGGTCTGCATGGTCTGTTTGTCCCCGATCTGTCTGTTAGTCCCCTTCAGCATTAGCACCAACACTGCCAAGCAAACAGCCCTCCTCCTTGCTGAGTGTGTGTCCCTGCCTGCCCTCCTGCCTGCTCCCACCTGAGGCCAGCCAGCGGGGTTTGACCTGTCTGTGGGCAGCAGACGTGCCCTCAATGGCATCCCCACCCCTGCTGAGAGCAGCCTGGGATGGCTTTTTGGTGGGGAGGTGGAGACACGGGGAGATAAAGGTGCCTGGACAGACAGCATTGAAAGGTGTTCCCAGCCCTGTCGCTCCCTGGGGACTGCAGTGGCTCTGTGGGGAGGGATGCCGGTGGTCTGGCTTGTCCCCAAGCCTGGGAGCTGCATTCCCCCACCCTGCCTGCAGGTACTGTGGTTTTGGAAGGCTCTGCCCTGTCCATCCTAGAGCCCAGCAACAGCCAAGGTCTCTGCTGGCACAGCTGCTTCAATAAGGGGATAGAGGGGTGGGCTGTGCTTGGAGGGAGGCTGGCCAGGGTCGCTGTGCAAGCTTGGCCAAGCCTGGCATAGCCTGCGGTTCCTCCCCATGTCAGGTGTAGCTAACACATCCCTTTGCAGCGTTGTTTTTACTAGACTAATAAACTGATTGTAGGACCCAGGTGGTGTCTCTGAGCTCTGCCCACCATCTGAAAAATTTGGGGGAGGTGGTGTGTCCTGCTTGTCCCACAGGACTGAGGAGTGGCTGCCCCAGGGCTGGTTGCTGATGTCCCTGCGGGACTGCAGGTGGTTTGCCGGGTGATGGTGATGAGGAAGGGCTCATGTTGGCATCTGTCCATGGCTTTTAAATGCTGGGTGAGAAACCTGGCTGGGTATTTCATGCCCGCAGCATGTCTGCCTGGGCTGGGCGCACGTGGCTGTCTGCAGGGAGCACCCCCCAACCCTGGTGCTTGAAGCTCCAGAGTTTCCAAGCCGTGCCCTTAAGTTAAGGGATGCTTGCGGGGAACACAGGCCAGCTGAGGGGGTGGAGGAGAGCTGTCACCACCCCTGACCAGTGGAATGAGCACCTCTGGTCCCCAGTCCCAGCAGCTGTGTGCAAGGCTCCAGTGGTGACGGCCTGTCCCTGCTCAT